TACTAGCTCTAACAATAGACCTTATGAATGAGATGAATAATCACATGTGTTCATTATTACTAGGAGAAGTAGTCAACTATTTCAATGCTAGCTCTGTCTCTAAGTCCTTATAAGACATTGAGTCAATAAATAAATTGTATACAATTGAGTTCTTGAACACTGCCAACAATTCAAGTCTACCTCCACATAAACTTACTTTGAAAACTAAAACCCCTATTATGTTGCTAAGAGACATAAAATAAGCATTAGGTCTATGTAATGGAATAAGGCTTAAAATTACATTCCTTGGCAAGAATATGCTTAAAGCAATCACACTAAGTAGAGCAAATAAAAATCATGAAGTTCTACTACATTGGATGGACATGAATCCTTCTGAGACAAAACTTTCTTTCATCATGCAAAGATGACAGTCCCAATCATATTATTTTTTGCAATGACAATCAATAAAAGTCAAGGACAATCTCTATAGAATATTGGTCTTTACCTGCCTAAACCAGTTTTCTCTCACAGCCAGCTTTATGTGGCATTGTCAACAGTAAAAGTAAAAAGTAGACTTTGCATCGTAATTTATGACTCCAATCAATAACCAAAGTTCACGACAACAAATGTTATCTACAAGGAAATATTCTAAAACTTGACTTTTGATAGCTTTGCTTGAAAGAAATACTTGGAGCAAGTACATGCAGAATCGTACCTCATGACCTAAAGATAAAAAATTGTAAGCATACATCCTTTTATTTACATGCATCGACACTATATACTAAATTAGACTATTCTTTTTACCATTATAAATGCACTAGTTTTTACTATTTAAACTTACAACACTCAAATTTATATTACCTACTTTGTTTTATTTATTTTTAAGATCTATGATACCAAAACATAATACTATATGATAATATTACAATTAGGGATATTATACTACAATTAAAAAATACTTTGTCACTCTACCTCTAATGTCACTTGCCTATCCTTAATAATTACAAGCACTTCAACCTCTACTCTTCATTAATTAACTACCATACCTCACTATTAATGTCAATACTACTAGTTTCACCCTCAATTAAATGACCTTAACAACCCAAGAGTCCTTCAGTAATAAATCATATATCATCCCCTTACTAATATCAATTCCTCTTGCAAAAGAAAAATTTAGACTTGGTTTCTTTCTTTCTGACTCATAAACTTTGTATCATATTTTTCTCTCCTATGATCATGAACTATAACAACCTCAAGTGTTTGAGTGAGCTTCATCTTATAGAGACTCTATGGAACATTTGCATCAAAGTAGATAGAATCTACATCAGGACTGAAGGTTTTGCTAACAAGCTGAGAATGGCTGGCCAAGAAACATGATTTCACTAAACTTTTTTGTCTTTGACAATTAGGTGACAAAACATGCATTCTTCTTGACATCAATATAAATATTTAAATATCAAACTAAACAAACATATTTACAAGGTGATTATATGCTTGTAACAATTCTTGGACGTCAACTTATAACAGGTTGTTCTTCTATGATCTTAAAAAGGTGGAATTACTTTATCCAAGGGGTGAAAATGGTGATGGCATCCATCCCAGCTATCATGTTCTCTTCCATCTTATAACAATCATCACCATTTATCTTATGACCGTGCATAAACATCCATTCCACTTCAAGAACATAAATTGTAATACCCACATTAATTAACCCACTAATTAAATCCTATTACCATGGTAATTAAGGTTAAAGTTTGTGATTAACCATTACCATGGTAGAATATATTTAACAATAGTTACCAAAAATGAGGATGAAGGAAAACTCTTTAAAAATGGGATCTCAATGAAATTAATTTTTCAAAACCATTGAACTTAACAAATGTAATATATTGAGTTGTCAACAAACAGAAGCAAGATATAACCCATTAATAAGGATTACACCACATTATAGGGACCAATTGGTCCTTTCACAAAACTTAAGCATTCACGTTATAGTTGACCTCTCAACTTAACAATTCAACTAAGCAATTTTAGGGACTCCAATGGCATATTTCAAACCACAGCTTAATTAAGAACATCAACATCATACATAAGTATCAATCACAATTTTGCTAGCCATATCCTAAGTCCACAAGACTTAAATTAATAAAAATGGCTAGACATTCTACGTACAACAATATCACATCACAATAATTTAACTAGCCCAAAACAAACTCTTATGAGTTTGCTTCACAAAAAAGCTAGGTAGACAAGAAACTATAGTCATAGAATCAATTACAACTATCAATGCATAATATGTTCCTAAGTTGGCAATATATATATATATATATATATCCTACTACACAAAATAAAGGAGGCTATATAAGGTGCAATCTAGCTCTAAGCCTCTAGGTCCTTCCCTTTGCCATTACCTATAACGTTACTTGTAAATATTAATCACAGGGTGAGATAAACATCTCATTAATTAAGGAATCCAAACTTCTAACATATACAAGTATAATCAATAAGAGCATGTAAAATAGTAACTAACAATATTAGATCAAAATGAAACATTTAAATATATATGATCAATTAATTTTCCTCCTTATCTCCTCCTTATTTTTTTAGACTGAGTCTATAGGTTACAATTCATAACAAGACCAATCCATGTGATTAGACTAGCCCAAGCTATCCAATGTTAAAGGGGTAATTTGGCCAAAGATCACTGTTATCTAACCTGGACCATAGACTCTCCTGCTAATTGAATTATCACAAGGTGTCATAATTATTATCGATAACACATACCCACTCCTAAAGTGAGTATCATAGACGAAACCAGAATCACACCAAACTCCCATCAGAGTTGTTCCACAGCTATGCAACATTGGGAGCTACCCAAGTTTTGTCTATACCATATGGACTTATAACATAATAATATGCTAACTAGGGTGAACTCCCAATCATTTCAATGTTCAATCATGCCATAATGTATTATAATTTCAATCATGTATTATAATACAATTCCACATGCCAAGAAATCACAATTTCTAATTAACATGCTTAATTTCATCTACATATGCATACTTCACAATTTATATTCAAGGAGTTCTCAACCATTCTCATAATTTACAATAAAGCATTTCTTACTTGTTTCACCCACATTATTCAACAAATAAACTTATACTCACTTTACACCTTTTGTAAAATATTAAAATTGCATCCACACATATAACATACATTTCATAATTTTTATAATACCAAAAACACTTAAAACATGCACATAAAAGAATTTAGGTTTCTGGTTACCTCCACTCCTTAAGTCACTCAAAAGGGCACACTCATGAATGCAATTCAATTTTAAGCTCCCAAATGCTCTAGGAGCTCAAAAGATTTTAGTTTACAATTACACAATTCATAAAGATCAAATATAAAATCAATTGCACCACTTTCCTAACTATCCATTTTTACTCAACAATTATAAATTTTAATTTATTAGATAATCGTGTTATCGAATAGTTCCATTAGCTTCATTAGACTCTAATAATCCTAACTAAGCCCAATAACCCTAACTTAAATCAACAAAAATTTAGATAGAATACTCAAATAATTTATACCCACTATCCTAGCAATAAAAATATACTCCCAACAACTCTATTTCATCCATATATATCATCCAAAACTTCCCACATTTTCAAAAATAACCATAAAATTAAAATTATAAGAAATACAAATTTTTCTACTATCAAGAATTTGAAAATAAAGTGGAGAAATAAATCCAAAAGAATATTTAAAAAAATTATCTAATCTTAGAAAATCTCAAATCACACTAAAGATATATGATAATGAGATTCCTTCCCTCTAGGATGACACTGCATCAAGCTCTATTCCTCTCTTCTCTCATTGTAAGTCGAAAAGAGATAAGGAAGGAACAAAGAACCACCACCTATGATATATTAGGTGTGATCCATATTTAAAAATGCATTTGATCATTTTTTAACCGTTCATCTATATATATATATATATAACTCATTTATTTATTTAGCTTTCTTCTTCTTCTTAAATCCATCCTACACACACACACACACATTCCTAGACTTTCCAAATTCAAAATATTGAATTAATTTAGTTGTTTTGTTTAAATAAAATCTTTATCATATTAAGATATTTATAGCATGTTAAGTTAGCAATATATATATGTATATATATTTAATAATTGAATTTGATTTTACCTAACTTGATTTATTTATAAAAATATGACTTCAAATAAAGTTTTCATAATTTAACCCTACAATAATCACAATTAATTCCTAGTTTATTTTAATATCTTAGTTTCTTTATTTATTTTTTGAGATGTTACATAAATAACTTCATATAGACTTGGGTACACAATTGGATTGCAATAGGTGCTCATGAACAACTATCCTTACAATGACAACTTTGTTTGATTTATATTTTAACACATGTATTATCTTTTTGCTTTCATAAATGTCAAAACATGCTGATGAGCATAATAAAGCCTAGTCTCACAAAGGCTAATAGAGTAGTGATCTATCTTATATTTTACATACTAAACACTTGATTTTTAGTATCAAATTGTGCATATTAGGGTTTAATGCTCGAGTTTGTGTTGTCTTTTTCATATTGACTCCATGAACCCTAATAGTACTATTTGATGGTTGTTTTGACACTTTCATACCCTAATTGAGATCTTAGGCTTAAATTTTCTTTTCTTTCCCTTTTAATTGTCTTTTTAGGATTTATTTAATTTTGTATCTTTTATTTTTAGATTTTTTAGGAAGCAAATTTGGAACCAAGGAGTAAAGACTAAGTTAACTTTATTGGAAAATTCAAGAGTAAGAGACGGCTTATTTGGTATTTTAATTCCAGAATTGAAAGGGGCTGAGTTGGCACCTATTTTTAGATTTAATTAAGGGAATTAAATAAATAATTGGCAAGGAAGAAGCATACATGCGTGAATTCAAATCTATTAAATTAGCTTATCAAGCCTTCTACTCTATTCAATGGAATGATGTTAAGGCTAAATGGAAGAGCGTCTGGAAGCTACTTGTGGTGCAAAGGGTGCAGATTTTCATCTGGTTACTTCTTAAAGGTCAACTTCTCATAAATGATAAACATCTTCGTCGTAAGATGACACATGACTCACAATGTTCTATCTGCCATGACCCAATGGAAGATATCAATCATGCCTTTAAAAATTGTCCTTTTATAGCAAATATCTAAAAAAAAAGTTCTACCCCTTAATATGTATGATGATTTCTATCAGAGCGATTTACCACATGGCTCTCTAATATACTTCGATCACCCAATGTTGACATTTCTTGGAAAACTAGCATTAGTATTTTAAGTTGGAAACTATGAGAAGTTTGCAACAAACCCTTACTCACTGAGGAGGTTATTGATGAATTTTCTTTTCTTGTATGCATTAAAGCTATTGTGGATCATACTCATAGGTCTTTTTTTCTCTTTAAAATCCTAATGTAATTGTTTTTTACTTTCTTGTACATATTGCATATATAGTTTTTTTTAATAAATTTCCTTTTCACTCAAAAATTTGATTTAAAGAGATCATATGATGACATTATCAAGGGAAACAAAGAGCATAATAACATGAATGTAATCCAATCCAAGAAGAATTCTTAAGATGACATCATCATAAAATATAAGAAGAGTATTATGTGCATGAATTGAAACTGAATCATAATTAAGGTAATAGGCGTGACATGATCAGACTTAGTAGAATTGACGTGGTAGCTGGAGAAGAGCTCAATTGAAGTCACATTGTCCATGCCTATTCACATTTCACTTGCCATCCTTCATTTAGCACTTAGGCACCTCTTATGTCTCTATTTTTTATATTTATTTGTTCAATTTTAATTCATTTTTCAGCTTATAATTAGCCACATTCAGATCTAGAACTTTAGAATTAGTATCACTTAGCTTTATTTTCATCACCCTCACTAACATTTATCATGCCTATATAAGCTTTCAATTTAGATTATAGCCTCATTCTTCATATTCCTCTCTCTCTCTCTCTCTTTCAACCATATTTTTATCTCAAATTCTCTCATCTCCTTCATCCACATCACACGTCTAGGTTCATCTCCTTCAATTTTTAGATTTGCTTCATTCATTTTAGATCAATTCTCATCCAGCTTCTCCATCCATTTCAGATTTCATTTCTTCTTCTCATCTTCTTATACCATTTTGTCTAGTATCTCATCATTTCTAACCAAAATTTTTATCTATATTGTTCATCTTTTCAGCCACTTCTAGATCTGATTTTCATCTTCAATCACTCATAGAGGCTTTTCAAGGTCTAATTCAAATGAAGAAGGAAAGCATGAGAGGCTAAACAAGTTAGAGCTCCAAGGAGGATGACTTAACACTATAAGTTTTCTAGATTTGTAATCTTCATTTACTTTCTTGATTCTTTAAGAATTTTGAATTTAACACTTGGTTTGGTTATGAATTCTGTAATTCTAATTCATATTAGATGAGAATATCGATGTTGGATTGAGATTTAGTGCTATGTTCTGATCTGAAATTCATGATTCAACTTGATGTTCTAGGGTTTATTCATGAGTTCTTGTTGATTCTTATTCAAGTTCATGTTCAAACTTGAGTTAGATCTATGTTAGTTATATGAATTTGGCTTAAGTTATTTTTCTTCCATTTGTTTTGGTTTGAAACTTGTGTAAAACAAGACTGGACATAGTGTTAAATCTTAATTCACTTGACCTGAATCCCTAAGTGTTCATTAAGTTCAATGGTGCACTACATTTAAAGGTTTCTAAGTGTTTTTATCTTAGGTTAATTGAGGTTGTTTGTGCTAATACAATCATGGAATTCAATGATTAATGCTAAGGAATATAACAAGGACTCTCCATAATCATCATTCACTTCATTCTAATTAAATAAAAAATTACAAACATCTAATTCTGCACTTAGGCTTAGTTTTGATTACTTGAAACTTCTTAATTTGTAGCATTTGAACCAACTTGTATGCTTTGCTCTCTAAGAAAATGACATAGAATGCTCACTTCTATGTTCTAGTTAAACTTGGTGACCCAAAGTGACTTAAGGATTCCATCAACTAGATACCATTCAACTGGAGTTCACAGTAGAAGATGACCAGCTGAGATCTCTTCATCTATTTAACACCTACAACCTATCTTCTCCAATAATATCTTACTTCAATCAAGTTTTTCCATGGTAAATTAATTTGTTGTGCTTTTTAAGACACCATTCAATCTATTGACTGCTTAAAAGAGAAGCTGTAGAAATAGCATGGGAAAGATTACAAAATTGCAAGCAAAATACTTCCCTTCAAATGTATCATTCAATGTACTTGGCTACATAACCTGATGGTAATAAATATCTCATTCAAGAATTTTTCTTAACTACAATTCACTAACTAAAACTAACCAATAACTTCTTTTATAGATATTAAGATCTTACCAAACATCTCCCCAGCCACTCGTATATTTTGGGACATTAAAGACATAGATGAAGTTCATCCAATCATCACTAGTCTCCTTACTTCTTGATAAAGCAACTCTATGTCTAGCACCTAGAACTTCCTTATTTTGTATGCTTCCTTTTTGTGCCGCAACGATAGTGTATCACTTTAGAACTTATGCTCTATATATTTTTTACACACTGTCCCACATGCAGCAATAATGGCGATGTATTTAGTACTTTCTACCTTGCCAACTATCATTAAAAATTATCTACTTAATTTTTCATCTTTTCCTTGCAATTTCCTTTATATATATGGTTCCTTACATGCAAAAAAATATATGAAAAAAATATATGAACATTGTTTAAAGTGTAATGCCTTGCCAATAATGCATTGCATTTTTTTAAAAAAAAACCTACATTAAGAATTTCAACCAATAGGTGATACTTGACATTTCTAAGAAAATACCTAACATTAGGTACTTGTTTTTTTTGTGAAGATTATAATAAAAAAATCTAGTGAAAATTAAAAGATAGAGGTGAGTCACCAATATATCACAGTAATATAGGCCACAATGTAATTCCTCTAAGATTGCTAAACATCCCAGATGCATTCCTTAAATCTTGAGAAATGATATCAGCAGAATCTAGAAAGAGCGAAACATCCTGAAATGATCTTTGTTACTCATAATAATAGTTAGATTTTCCTTGCATGATGATAGTAAATCTAAACAATTTATCCACCTAAAAACTTCCTTGAAACAACATAGTAACATCTTCCTCTTACTATAAGCATACAGCTTCTTGAATTAGAACTTCTTAATAAAGCAACTCTTATGAAAGAGAGCTGAAATAATTCCTAAATACTTTCCAGCATCTCCTGATTCCAATCCATATTTCCATGAAATCTATCACCCCTATTTTGACACCATTACATGTCTTTGTGTTCTACCTCATGAAACTATCTTTTCTGTATTTGCAATCCTGTAAGATCTATAGAGGTAAAGGATATGTTAGCTCTAACTAAAGTTAAACCTTATAGAAAAATTGCAACCCTAAGCATAAGGAAGTTGGTGACGTATCCCTCCCCTATGTACCACCTCATTACGTACCTCCCATATCATTGAACAAGTAATTAATATATATATATATATATATATGATGGAATTTATATGATAGGCATCTTTGAGATTGGTTTTAGACAACCACTACTTAAGTCATACATTAAAAGGTGTAGAATATCATCAATTTTAATGGCTAATGGACTTAAAAATCATATGGTCCTAGACCAGGGACAATGAAAGAAAAGATAATCCATGGTTTCTTTCTTTCTTTTCATTTGAACATAAAGGATAAAGAAAGATACTAGGAACATGGTGGTCTCTGAGTATGTCCCCAACATGAATAGCTAGATTAATAGCTTTCTAAACAGTCAGCAAGATCATGTGTGGTAGATAGATATTCCACAAGACTTCCCAAATATGAAGGAAATCTAGCAAATCATTATACTTAGCAGCCAAGTAAAAACCATAATTAATTATGTAACTATCTAATAGTGAAAATTGACCAATGATAGAGTTTTTGTTCTTCAAAAATTAAGAAATTCAAGCGCAATATATTTTCACAACTTATGGGGAATATGGTCTGGATATAATATTGATGTTTCAACCTTCTGAATTGTGCTTAAGAAAATTTAACACTGTCTAAATATCTGACAATAGAGACAACGACATAGGCCACTATAAAAAGTGGTTTATAGGAATGTTGGCTCCTGAATCAATTCTCCAAGAGAGATGCAATTCTATGAGATACCTTGACTATAAAATCCCCTTTTAAATCTATGACAAACCATTTCTATCACAAAAGTTGATTCCTCTTTATTACCTCTGATCCTCTTTCGCAATGCTCTATTAAGGATGTTTTCATTGTCCATATCAAAAAGCCTCTATAGAATTTGAGCAAGTAAGGCATCATTGTTTGGACCAAGATGAGGGTAGCTTAACACATGAAAGCTGATAACTACCGACTTGATTAGAGTTAATCTGGCCACTTATGATAGAAGAATACCACTCTATCCTTGCACTTTATTTCTTACTCTCTCTAAAAGCTCTTGATAAATATCTCTTTTTAATTTGCCTGCATCAATCACAATGCTTAGGTATTTTCCTAGGTGGGGATCGTATTTGACACCTAAGCTAATAGCTAGGGCATACTTTGTAGCTGGTAAAAACTAGCTTAGACTTTGAGGTATTGACAGTCAATCCTAACATTCTTTTATATAAGTCAAGCACATCTTTAAATGTGTCACAATTTTCCTGATTAGCTCTAAAGAAGAAAATTGTATCATTTGCAGATATAAGGTGTAAGATTAACTTAAATCCTCTTCCCAGAGAGAGAGAGAGAGAGAGCCTTTAATCTTCCTTTCAGCCTAAAGTTTTTAATGATTGCTGAGAGAACATTTGCCACCATAATAAATAGATAAGGTGATAGAAGATCACCTTGTCACAAGCCTCTTGAATGATAAATAGGTTCTAACATCCAGCCATTAATAGAAATATGGTAGCTGATTGTGGAGACACATTGCATAATCATATTGACCCAAGATTGTGGAAATCTG